CCACTGAATGGGCTATATGGCTGAACCAGTGTTCATGAAAACATTTACATGTGCAGCACTTTCAGTGGTATTTGCAACGCTGCCTATTCGATCATACATTCATCACTTCCTTAGGAGAACATGGTTGAAAAAGATGCAAAGGGGGACCTGAATTCCTTTCCATAAATTGCCTCCATGAAGACAGGGCAGCTCCAAGGAAGGCTTGCCCCCCGTCCCGGGCCCCATGGCCAGTTTACATTGTAGAGTGCCCACCCTTCAGTGAGGCCACTAGGGAGGAAGGGTTTCGCAAGATCTCCCCTTCTTCCCTTACGGGTCTGAATCGACTCAATGGCCAAGAGTTTTTATCACAATCAAGACCAACTACCTGTTCCAACCTATTTTACTTGGATATTCTTTTTTATAACTCCCCCCACCCGCCCCGACACACACACATACACACACACACACACACACACACACACACACACACGGAGGCAGGGAGGTATACTACTCTTGGAGTGAACTCCCAGTTGACTTTGAAAAGTGATTCATTACAGCAATGCCCATTTGGCTTTGAACGTTCAAATTAAATTAACTTCTGAATGGTTCATCGAGGAAACATATTTGATGTATCTGTCCCTTGTGCTGGTGGCATCATGGTTCAGGTCAGCAGTTTGACCCCACCAGCTGCTCCATGAGACGAAAGATATGCAGTCTGCTTCTGCAAAGATTCCACCCCAAAGCCTACCTCACGGCCATGGAGTCAGCGCTGACCCATAGCGACCCCTGTGGGTTGCTGAGACAGCACCTGTTGACGGGAGTAGAAAGCCCGTCATGCAGCATAACCATGGCACCCTCAGGGCCCCACAAAGTTAGCTGAGAGCCTAGGAAAGCCTGTGCTGCACATCCACTGTCTTACGGGTTGCCATCACCTTGATGGTGTTGAGTTTGAGGCTTGGGGTTTGGGTGACTTGTCAGCAGGGCTGACTGAAGTTAAAATAATGAGAGTGGGAAGCAAATCATTTGAGCCCCAGGAGCGGGCACGCCTTCATCTGTTGAAGGAACAGATCCCCCAATAATCCATGAATGGCTGCATCTTAAGCAAGCCATGGCTAACTCTTTCTGAATGTCCTGCTGAAGGATTTTGGGGTTTCACAGACTTGATGAGATTCAAACTTACCAAGGACTACAGAGCCTCACTGACGGATACACCACTCTGATGGCCCCAGAGACCTGAAGGGACGAGGCCCAGTCTTCCGTGAGGGGAGAGCTAGGGGATGCCGTGGACTTCTGGCTGCCTGTCTGGTGCCAGGTCCACTGCAGCAGGGGTCGGCCCACAACGTCTCGCTGGAGGACTCAATGCAGCCCACGCCTGTTTTTGTAAAGACGGTTTTGGTGGCGCAGTCACGCTGGTTCACGTGGGCGCTGTATGGTTGCGTTCAAGGTGTGAAGGCCGAGTTGACTAGTTGGCGCAGAGCGCAGCCAGTCTGCGAAGCTGACAAGATTGACCACCTGCCCCTGAGACTAGGGCATTCGCTACCAATCCTGGGTGCCCTTCAGAATCACCTTAACCCAAAGTGCAGGTGACTGGGCCACTCGAATCAGACTCGTTGTTGTGTCATAGTGTGTTCCACAGGAACTTTTCATGGCTGGTGTGGGGACGTTGATCTCCAGGCCTTTCTTTCAAGGCACCTCTAGATGGACTCGAACGTCCAACCTTTCAGTTCGTAATGGGGTGCTTAACTGTTTGCACCACCAGAGAACTCGGGGGTACACTCTCTACCTTCGCATCCCCAATCTTTTCATGAAGCGAGCCAGGAATCGAAGTTTTTGAAAGGGTTGTTTTCATGCCTAGTCAAGTTGAGAACCACTGCACTATACGATGTGCTGTCTCTGAAGCACATTGCCATAACAACACATCTGGAACTTCCACTAGTGCCAGAATCCCCCAAGGACTTGTTAGAACTGGCTGCTGGGCCTCACTGCTAGAAAGACTATCAGTAGAGCTGTGGACCAGAACAGGTATTCCTAACGAGACCCTGGTGCTGTTGAGGCTGCTGACATTTGGGCTCCATGTTGCTTGGCATTGACCTAGACCATGGGGGCTTGGGCTCTCCTAAGAAGACAAACCCTGGGAGCTTTGGGATTGGGGTGGGGACATATTTACAGACCAACAGCTGGAGGTGTGCCAAATCCCATTGTAAAGCCCTCCAGGCCTCTGATCAAATCAACATCCCCATCGCCCTGCTTCCTCCTTACCTCTCCCCCCCTCCCCGCCCCCAAATCTAGAATCAAGCTCTCTGTGGTTACAACCACTCTTGCTCTGAGTTTCCACTCCTTATAGGTTTCCTGTGGTTTTAAATCACCCAGGGACTGTTTTGAGTCAGGTAAAAGAAATGTCCTTTGAAGCAGGACTTCAAACTGGCTCGTTTTGCTCTGCAACCCTCTGCTGAGCATCTGCCTTTCCATCGCAGATAAACTGAAGCAGAATCGCCAACGTCTCTAGATCTCTGGGTGATTCTTACAGGAACCGTCTGGGAACCCATGAAATAGGAGAGCTTCATTTAGTACTGGTTTGAAGCCCCGCTTTGAATGGAGAGGTATGGCATAGAGCATGCAGAATATTCCAGGCATTAAAAAGACAATGAGAAAAGTAGTTAAGAACAAACAGCAGACATTGAAAAAAAATCTCTGTAAATATCATGAATGTACAAACCCAAAAGGAGGGAAAGGAAACACAGACAGGGAGAGACAGACCGTGTAACCTCAAAGATGTCTCCATTTGCTCAGGCACATCTTCCTGGCACTCTTCGGTGGTTCTCATTCATACAGGCTTGGATTCTTTGGCTTAGTGGTTACACATTGGGCTACTAACCACGAGGTCGGCAGTTCCAATGTACCAGCAGCTCTTCAGGAGAAAGACCTGGCTTTCTAATACTGTTGAGTTTGTATGAAAAACCTACAGGGGGAGCTCTACTCTGTACTATAGGATCACTAGGAGACAGAATTGACTAAGTGGCAGTGAAATTTTTTTTTTTAGGGGGCTGTTCTTTGGCAGCTAAGTATTTTATTTAAAAATATTTCATTTCTCATAAATGTCTTTAAAAGGTGAAGAAGCCACTGCAGTGAAGACTACTGTTGTTTTTGTTAAATCAGATCTTGACTCGATTACTAGAAAATTTAAAGGTTTGGGGGAGAATAGCTTTTTGAAACAATAAGAGTTTTCCCAGCTTGGCATGAGTGACATTTGGAGTAGAGTCACTGTTTGTGGTGAGGGCTGCCCTGTGCGTTGTAAGATGTTTAGCAGCATCCCTGGTCTCCACTAGATAACAAGTAGCATCCACCTTCCCCTAGTTGTGGCAACCAAAAACGTCTCCAGGCATAGCAAAGTGTCTCCCACACTGAGAACCAAAAGAGCCCTGGTGGTGTTGCTTAGGCATTGAGCCGCTAATCACAAGATTAGCAGTTGAAGCCTACCAGCCACTCCAAGAAAGAAAGATGAGGCTTTCCTCACCAGTGAAGATTTGCAGGCTCAGAAAGCCTGTGATTTGAAATCAACTCAAAGGCAGTGGGTGCTCCCTTCACCCATGTTGTCCGTTTATCTCTTTGAACCTTCTATAATGGCAGACCAACTTCCCAATACTGAGTGCATGGGAATAGGAGCCTATACATAGGTGTCGAACACAGATAAAGCATATGCCCTGGAGCTGAAGAGGAATTCTGTGTTCCTGGAAGGTGACTGAGAAGCGCTGGTGATGTGGTGGTTCTGTGTTGTTGGGCTAAAGTCTGACAGGTTTATAGTTTGAAACCACTAGCTGCTTCTCAGGAGAAAGACAGGGCTTTCTACTCCCATAAAAAAACCTCAGAAACGTACAGTGGTAGTTCTACTCTGTCCTAGAGGGTTTCCATGAGTGGGCATGAAACGGCAGTGGATTTGGCTTGGGGAAGGTGATTGCTAGCATATCAATACCAGAATCAATCTCCACACAGCTTCTCTCTCACCTCAATCCATTTCGATTTCTGCTTGAAATATATGACCAACCACTTTCCATTTTTGGATCCAGATGGCTTTATTTATTTGAATACAACAGGAAGAGAGGGACCAGATGTGAGTTCTTTTCCGAGGATGGGCTACATAATTTGCAGGGCCTCGTGCAAAAGGAAACTGCGAGCCCTTTGTTCAAGAACGAAGATTTTCAAGATGGCGGCGGCGGCGGCAGAGCATTCAACCAAGCATGAAGTCCTAGGAGACCACGCGGGGGGCTGTGGTGGGCGCGGCATCAATATTGACGAATCCACCAGCTGGGCACCGCCAGCTTTCTGCCCTTGCATCGCCTGCAGTGCTTCCTGTGAAATGAGGACCGCGAAAGACTAAAGCATCTTGACCCCAAATCCATTTCAAAAGAATGCTGACTGGTGCGACAGCAAATGCTTATAGAATATATATTTTTAGACTTAAAAAAATCCACACGGAAATCGTTTCTACATCATTACAGAAATTAAACACTGTGGCTTTTCACCATATACATATTTTCCTGTAAATATGACAACTTGGAAATATTAACTGCTAGTATCCACAATGCGTTACGTTAGCAAAGAGTGAGCTTTCCACCACAAACTTATAACAAAATCTCTCTTGTCCTTATAAAAATAGTGAACACATACCCTAAACGGCTTACAGTGAAAATTTGAGTAGTAACTTCTTTATATTGAAAAACATAATCACGGAAACACGAGCTTTCTCGCAAATGCTGTGGGGAAACATCATAAGGCAAACTGTAGCATTTCTTGGTACCTGGAGACTGATTTGCAAAACTTTTATTCGGAACCCATTAATGTACAAAGTGCATTAAAATATTTGTTATCCAGTTACCCAAAACAGTATGTAGGGATTACTGAGACTACCCTTTCAGTGCCATCAGGGAAGGCCAATAGAGAGTTTTTGTATCATTAAAAAAAAAATCCCATTACATTTCCAGAGAATGTTTCCCCCCCTTTCCCCCACCCCCACCCCACTGAGGTGTTCAGAAGTGAAATTGTCTGAAGTAGCTATCAAAATATCCATCTGGGTATAAATAATAGAGTAAATATATAGAATCTATTTGTTAAGAAAAGGGGGTATCAGCAAGTGGAGAAGGTAGAAGACACAGTAAGCCGGCAGGCTTCTATGAATTCCAGATTCGCCTTCACAAAAGCTTTGGCCACTTGACAATGTGAGACTGAAACGACGGGTCTATAGATTTACTTCAGGAAACAACTGGACAATTTGGTGAAAAAATAAAAATTATTCGAAACCATGCTTTAAACCCATCCGTCTGTTCAATCACAATGGCTGACCCAGTAGCCCAGATAAGTAGTTTTGCAATAGTTCTACTGTCCCTTCTGGTTAAATCAATGCCAGAGTCTCACTCTAAGGGCCACTTTTGGAAAGGCTGAATTCACGGACCATTTCCAAGTGTCAGACAAGCAAGTGAAAAAAAATCCCATGTGACACTTTATTATTAGCAGGTTCTATTCGATTGTGTGTGAGAACAGCCAGTTTTTCTTCTCTTACAACTCTATGATAAACTATACTAGGATACTGAGAGACTTCTACATCTTTCAAGACAGATTTCATAAAAGTCTGTTTATAATAACGTTTGAGGCATGGGCTCTAGTTAACAGTACTTTCTACCACGTCCCTCGTCATTATGAACTCATAAATAGGAAGTGTTTTTCGGGTGACTTAGATTTGGACGTGCTCGTGGTGATCAGTGCCACGTGCTGACGTACTGGAGAGCAAGCTCCAGCCCAAAAGGGGCTTCCTTGGTGACGGAACAAGTTTCTTTCCTCAGCTACAGAGACAAACGAAAAAGCATTTGGAAAGGGTGGCAGGGCAATTAGTAAACGCAAAGAAGCCATTTCACAATCCTAAAGCAAGGTATTAAAAGGAAGGGCAAAAATACTATTTGAATATCTTGACGCAGAATCCTATTTCTGAATCAAACACAGTTGGTCGGAATTGTTGAGTAATCAGGATTCAGCGATTCCTTTTCACTGCAATCTCATTCCTAATGTTCTCCCAGAATCCTCCACCCTGGGAGAAGGGCAAGATACAGTCCAAGGTTTCAGCACCTTTCTCTCCAACCTTATCCCACCGGCTGGCAACACTACAGACTTAGCAGTGGGCGCTCCATTCTCCGGAGTTACCTCCTGCCACCCTTGCTCTGCATTTTAGTGGATCCAATACACATTTTGGACTTTTGCAGTTTAAATACTTCAAAACGAACTGGAGCAAGGAAGCCTTTTCACTGTCCTACACCAACTCATGGCAGCCCCGTGTGCATCAGAAGAGAATTGTGCTGCACGGGTTTTCAAAGGCTGTGACCTTTCAGAAGTACATCTCCGGGCTTTCCTCTGGAGGCAACACTGAGTGGACTTGAACCTGCAGCCCTTCGGTTAGCAGCTGAGGTCTTAACTGCACCACCCAGGGACTTGAAAGGCTTTTTTTTTTTCTCCGTTTTTGAGAATGGCATCATATTCTGGGCTGGAGGAGCACTGTTGCGGTGACAGTCTCTCTCCTGAGATGCCGATGACATCTTATGAATGAACACCCACGACTACAAAGGAGGTTTGCCCTCCTCCAGCCCATAGACCAGGATGCAAACGGGCTTCTGACTGTGCAAACCCCAAGAATTCCTAAGAGTTGTAATCAATTCGGTTTCTTTTATAAATAATCTATAAATTTTCCTGTAAATACACACACATACACACCAAAAAAATTTTGAAAAAATTATTAAAGCCCGTGCTTCATACAAGACACAGTGAAAGGAGGGGAGGTGCCCGTGTTCAGACCTATCGGAGCCAAGTTTGGGACACTTTTTGGTGAGATTTTTGTCACCCTCTCAAAGCCTGGGCTATCTCAGTCCCCTACAGGGTGACCACATATCCTTTCCTGCCCCCGACAGCTGCTCCGCGCAGCCCCAGGCTCACGGCAGTTGCTCCGTGCAGTCCAAGTGATCTGGAATCGGAAGGCCAGTTATAATGGTCAAGCATTTGTTCCACACGGTGAAGGTCGGGCACACGGGCTGTGCAAAGGCGATGTCGAAGGTGTAGAGGTGGATGGAGTTCAACGCATCGTAAAAGGCGACGGAGCCGTTGTCGTAGTCCAGCAGGATGCCGACGCGCCGCAGATGAGGAGCTGGCTCGATGGGGATCTCTTTACTGTTGTGTCTTACCACCCAGTTATTGTTGCAGCGGCACAGCGCCCAGGAAGCCGAGTTCTTCCCGATCCACTCGTGCTTTGGGGCCGACTTGTAGGCCAGGCCAATGGCGTACCTGCAGAAAGGAAACAGCAAGGAGCCCGGTGAGCCTGGTCAGTCGTGGATGCTGCCACTACCTTACGTGACGGTCCTTGGTGTCAGGAAAACGTGACCTCGTGTTGTCCCTTGCTTTTCTCAGTAAGTGAAAGCTTGGCAGGAACCTGGACACATGTGCTTCTTGTCTTCCCTCCTTCCCAGTGCAAAATTGTGGAAAGAGGCCATTGCATTTAGTCACCTTCCTGTTTGCCATGCAAGCACTATGCTAAAACTATGTATTTTGCTGCTAACAACAACAACAACAACAACAACCAAAACATGAAGCCCTACACAAATAATTCTGTACAGCAGAACTGCCCGGAATAGCTAGCATGGCCGGCACTGTTCACTATAGTAACTACAAGCTCCCTGGGGTGAATAAACACTTGGATGTGGCTAGTGTGGTCAAAGAGCTGAATTTTACCTTTTATTTCATTTTAATTCAGTGAAATTAAATAGCCATGTGTGACTTGTGACTACCATATTGGATAGTATAGCTGTAGACTCTTTCATTGGGGCCTCATCTATCACACGGGGCCCATGGTGGCAGCCACCTCTGTGAGAATGCACGTGAAACCCTGGCCACAATGCCTGGTATGTTATCTTATTATCACTGCCCAATTATACACCAATACTGAGCCCAAGGATGACTCAAAAAGGCAGCGCTTAAATCACTTGCTAACGCCGTCCTTCCTTAGACACTGCATAATTCATCAGTGCTGACAGCCCTTCTGTGTCTATTTCCCACGACATTCAGATACATTCTGAATCTCTTCTGTGACGCTTTCTTTCAAGGAGACAGAACCTGGTGGCTCGAAATGTTCTCTAGCTGCTCAAAGAATAATTTGAAGAAGTGTTCTACAATGTTCTAAGCTTCTTTCTTAATCACGCTATCCCCTTGAGGTATGTCTCCATCAGACTTGTAATATTTCACAGTGATTACTTTGAGCAAAACCTGTGCCTTTTAATAAAGAGTGTGTAATTCAGGCACCACGTTCAACATGTTGTAGTGGAAACTGGACTAACTGGATATTGACATATGGTACCTGACTCAATGCAAAGAGAAACGACAACAACATAGTCTTTGAGAAATGATCATCTTGAATTCAATCCCTTTAAAGGGTGTTATTTTAAAGAAGAAAGTTACTATTAAATGCCATCACTGAATTCAAAGAGAGGTTGCAATCAGTCAGGCCATCTACCAACCCTGCACCCTCTCTTCCCATTCAGTAAGAGCGGAGTTAGGTTCTGTCCTCGCAAAGACCTTCCACAAATTCCAGAACAGTGGTCCTCAACCTTCCTAATGCAGCGACCCTTTCATACAGTTCCTCATGTGGTGGTGAGCCCGCAACCATCAAATTATTTTCATTGCTACTTCATCACTGTCATTTCGCTATCCTTATGAATCGGGCGCCCCCTGTGAAAGGGGTGGCAACCCACAGGTTGAGAACCGCTGTTCTAGAAAGTCTACAAGGAGGCAACAGAGAATAGATGGGAGGGTGCTCAGGGGAAGCTCCTGGGGCAGCTGCTTCTTGCTGTTGGCCCCTTCCCTGTGATCTCATAGTCCCCAGTCCTTCTGGGAGTCACAGAAGCTGCTGGCTCCCTTTCTCCACAGAATACCTCAAGTGACTTCTGCTCCCCCTAAACCCTAGCTCCTGTGCTTAGGAAGGGCTTTCATTTGGCCACTTTATATCTTTCCCCCAAAGACACGCTCTCTGGGCTCTGGCACAAAATGACCTTAGAAGTCTGACAGAGCTCTGTGAGTAGCACATCACTGCCACTCTATATTACGGGTCATTGATACTCACTCCGTTCCCACTTGAACCTTACCTCAACCCTATTGAAGTAACTGCGGCAGGTACAACTGACTTCATTTAGCAAACGGGAAAACATATAGAGGGTTAAGACTGCTAATGAGGAGTCAAATCCAGAATCTTGTCCCCGCCTCACCCCTGGACTTCTGACCCATCTCGACAGGAACCCACGTTGGCTCGATTAGTTCACGGCATTTCATCCAATGCCAAGCCACCGTGAATAACAACAGAGAGTAAGAAAATAACGAGTCCATTAACCAAAGGAAAATATCATTATGCTATCATTAAGCTGTACCACTATGTACACATTTCCATCAGGCCTGAACGGTGCAGGCAGGATGTAATGTCCCATGAAACGGGGAGAGTTCACAAAGCAGCAAAATGACGTTTCCCAGAGCACTGCTAACAAGGCCCCATTGCGCGGATCACCACATCCATCCATGTTCATTTGAGGTCAAGACTCTATTTCACAAGAAAATAAATGTGTCGTTAGCTACTGCAAATCAAAGTGTCCACGGGCATTTAATCTTCGAGGTCACCTCTTCCTCACTAACATTTCCCAGGAAATGGCCAATGACTTTTGCATTAGACTGAAGATTTTCAGGAACTGACACAAGCAGTTTTAGAAAAATCTAAAATGCCCTGATTCATTTCAGGTTTCCCCCACCACACCCCCGTGTCAGTTCTGACAGCTGGAGGGTATTTTCAAGGATCCTGCCGACCTGTGTTTATATAGCTGGAGAGGTCGGCTGGAATTTCCCACACCATTCATCAATGGTGGTGAGGTCATAACGATCAGGTATCATTTATCATAAATAATTATTAATGGGGGTGTAATTATTTAGACACTGGATTCCAGCCCAAATTCACACTAGAAACTCTCGAATGTATGCACCTGTCTTTTGCACTGTGCTTTTTGATCTTGGCCCCGTGTTCCTAAAAGCCAATCAGGTCAGTGGAGCTCAGAGCCCAGTCAGCAGACACCCACTTGGCCCCCTGGTCCCTGGCAGCATGTCGGGACAGGAAATGTTGAGCGGAATGGATGAGAGGAATCATGAGGCCAACAACAGAGGGAAAGCTAATCATGGTACTGGTACCATCCTGAGGAGAAATAATTCCAGTTCACAGATTTTGATCAGCTCATCCTAAGGCGATAAGTGAGCTTACACGTTGCATTATTTGTATAGACTTGAATCAAAACGTTTTCCTTTATTGTTTAATCACTCGGTGTTTGATCCTTCTATCAATACTAACCCTGTCTGCCACACACCTTCAGATTTTGCCGTTTTAAACTTTGGCTTTGATTTAAAGTTAGTTTTTAAGCTATCAACTCACTAAGTCAGCCATCCAAAGCCCTAAAGGACACTTCAGGTGTCTCAAAAGCGGAAGCCTTCCTGTGTGGGACAGTAGCCTAGTCATAGTATGGTGGTTAAGAGCAGTGATCAGCAATCTAGGATTTGAGGGGCAAATCCGACCCACCTGCTCTTGTTGTCTTTCTTTTTCAATGGTGGAAACAAAACCTTCGACAGGTCGACAGTTGCGACCCGAACACCTCAGTGAGACATTAATGACATTCCTCACATGCAACCATCACCGAGGTCTCCCAATTTTTCCATCAGCTTTACCAGAAGCTCGCTGCCTCCTAAATCACCTGTTTTTATAAATTAGGTTTTACCGGGCACGGCCACTCCTATCCATGTGCACATTGCCTGTGGTCGCTTTCTCAATACAAAGGCAGAATTTAATAATTACAACAGATACTGCATGACCCACAAATTCAGAAATATTGACTCGCTTGTGTTTTAGGCAGGATTAAGAACTTGAACCCTGATTGCAGACATTCAGACTCTGCCACCTATGAGCTTGATGACCTTGGGCACGTGCCTCAAGACACCTTACCTATAGAAATGGGTCACACCAGCACGTCCCTTCTGTGTTCTGTGAGGATGAATAAATGCGCTCATATTTGTCAAATGCTTACACCAGCATCTGGCATCTACTTGTGCTAGACAAAGGCTTGCTAAAGAAAAATAAATTTGCTCTCTTTTTGATCAATAGCAAGCAGACAATTGTGAGGCACATGGACAGAGTAAGGGGTGGAGTCTGCTGCTATGGAGTGGGCTTTTCTTCGTGACTGATTCCAGTGTGGATTGTCCTCTGATCTTCCATCTTGGTTCACAGAACTCAGTGGGCTAAGGTTCGTGGAGTGGGCCCACCTGCTGTTGCCATCATTTCCAGTCTATGGTCACTGATTCACACCCACCCTCCCTTTCACCCTTCACTAGGTGCAGAAAATTTATCAGAAACTATACACAACAACAGAAATTAGTCTTCATTAGAAGATGATGGGTAATGTGGGCCACACTGCACAGTCGTAATTACTCAACCTTGCCCTGGTGGCTACAAAGCAGCCACCAGCAATACATACAAAACTGGGAGCAGCTGGGCTCCACTGCATCTTTGTCTGCAGAAATGGGAGGCGGCCTGGGTTCAACCCATGGGCTGTAGTTTGCACTCCC